CTAAGTGTATTGAGTCAGCCCCCAAAGAGCTGGTTCTGGGCCAACTCTTTAAGCTCGAGTGTTTGGGAGCTAAAAGATGAGCCAGATCCCAGAAAAGAGTCACAAAAGTCATTTTAACATTTTCAACACATAATTTGTTTTATTCAGTGGTGCAATTTCTAAAACATTGGAACACATTTTGTGATATAATGGTTCACCAGTTTTATAACAAATCCTGTCATAATTAGAATCTGTTGTAAAACTAAAAAAGCAAGAAAGTTTGAACTGTTTATTAAAAGTAAACAAACAAATCACAAGATTTATTGGTCTACAAATCTCAAGATGTGAATTCAAAGGATATCACTCAGAAATAGGGGGAAACAATACTTAAAAATTTGAGTTTTTCTAGAGTATATATCATATTGAGAGTTTGCTTACTGAGTTTGTCCTTTGTTTTAAGTTTGTAGTTGTGGACTGAAGATCCAAATGTCTTAGAAAGGAAGATATAGTGGAGAGTGGGCAGGCAGGTAAGTGTATGATTGGTAGTGATGGTGGGTCTAACACTTCTGAGCTGCTCCCAAAGAGTGCGTTCTGAGCCAGCTCTTATAAAGAACTGTTTGAGAACCTAAAGAGCTAAGTGAAATGAGCTGGATTTAAGAAAACAGCTGTTAGTCCCATCAGTAGTGGTTGGCTCTCTTTTTCAGCTCAAAGCACACAAGAAGGACATAGTTACTTGGGTTCAGAGTGTCTGCCCACCCACCAAAGGCTCAAAGGAGAAACTATACGAGAAAGAGACCGATAAGTTTCCAGAGAACTAGAATCACTTTGAAAAAAAAAATGTGCAAAGAAACTTGTGTTTTCACCATAATAAATACAACCATTTAGGCAACAAGATGAAGTCCAGTCTTATCTTTAGTAATATAAAGAGGATTTCCTGATGCAATCTTGGCTCCAACTTGCAGCCTCAGGATTAGAAGACCACATGACTGACCACTGAGCTACTGCTGCTTTGCCTAAAGGTAAATTAATGAAAAGGGAAAATACATCCAGAGGGCTTGGGATCCTCATAAGAATAACAACGCTTGAGCAGTCTTAATGTGAAAACATCAAGTTTACAATGATTATTTTGTAGACATGCCAATCCAAAAAAAATGTTGTGGAACCAAAACATTTGATTTACTTTAAATAATTTGCTGTATTAAACATACACATTAGTATGCTTAAATAATTCTGAGGCAGGCAGCAGACTTTGTAAAACAAGGTCAAGGTTCTTTAATGTCATTCGCATCACATGTGGTACATGTGGTGGAACGAAATTGTGTACACAGGGTCCCAGTTACATTCAGGGGTGTAGTCTATGCGATATATGGGTACACGGAGTATACCCACTAGAAAAGCTTAAGAATTTCATTATACCCACTTAAAAGTGTCTAATGATACATGACATATCATTTGACATGTGTCATTGATATGTTAAATGGCAGTTAAATGCTTCCATAATAATATGTCTGTATGTAGCACTTGTTCATTACATTCACTTATCCAGCAAAGTATTGTATAATTCTGTACTTACTACGCAATACTTGAACATGTTTTGCTTTGATATTGTTTTATAAATTCTATAACATGTTTTTAATACAGAGTCAACTGTTGTATGGAGTTTGTTGTACATTTATTCAAATATAAGCATTAGAGAAAATTTGGAAATGTTCAATATGATTAAAAATCAAAATAAATTATACTAGCCAGTGTACTTTGGTTGCTAAGCACAGTATACCCACTACAAAAATATAGACTATACCACTGGTCACATCCAACAAAAGTATAATTTATAAATAAAATAAGAACAGCAATAAGATCTAAGATATTAATAAATACACTAAACTAAGAATACACAAAGCAATTAATATTGCACAAACAGTAACATGCCGAACAACATTTGCCTTCATTGCTTGTACATGACTCATTAGTACAAACGTTTCTAATTGCACACATACAAGACGTTTTTTTTAATCTGAACTCTTGAACCAGAGCACCATTAATACTCTTCCACACAATGACAAAGATTTAAAAGCAACAATCGATAAAACAAAATCACAAACTCACTGTAAATCTACCCTCGGAAATTCATATTCGTCTTGAATATGTGATGCTGTGATATAACCATGAAAACTGAGTGTGTTCAACTTGATCAAGCACACTGCACAGTGAATTTCAACTATTTGTAAACAACATGACGTTTGCCATGTCAGAAAAAAACATAAGGATTATTGGGTGGAGAAGTCTTGGGAGAAATAAGACATCACAATTTGATGATGAGACGTTTCATTCCTCAAGCAGGTAGCTGATGATAACCTGTCGTTCTTCTGGTCTGCTACACCTACACACTAACAGGCCGCTGGAAACGACTTCTTCCTGACAAGCTCCTGTCTTCTCTGCCCTTTCATCTCCTCGCTCCACAAAAGAGAGTTTAGAAGTCTTTTATCTAAGCCTGGGGGTGCAGTTTCTCTCCTGCAAAAAAAAAAAAAAAGGAATTCAGCCAATTAAGCTGGTTGTACAATGCTTATGAACCATGCATCACAGGAAAAGCTCTAAATGTTTTTCGATGTTTGAATCTGCATAATTGGCAAGTGGCTCGCTAGCTGAAGAAAAAAAAAAGTGAGATTTAACACATCCTGTTGTTGCTGGATTTTGTTTTGCTATCTCAAGTTTTTAGTCTGAATTAATGAGGAAAAATTAGGACTTTTTTTTTTTTAACTTCATGTAAGAATAAAAAAAATAGGACATTTTGAAATAAACTTCTTGGGAATGTTTATGAAAAAAAATTTAACCTGTAAATAACTCTTGGAACACCCTCTGTTTAGATCTCACAGGTTTTACAAGCAAAAAGCTAGTTTTAACAACCAAAAGTTTCTTAGTTTTTAAATAACCAAGAAAAACATGGATTGCCACTGTTTTAAGACTACTTACTGGTAAAGTTCCAAAATTGTATGGCATTTCATGCGAATGCTAAATCATTGACACATTTATAAGTTTTGTATCGCACGGTTACTTATTTGTAATTGTATGATTATTTTGAAGTGCAAATAGCACAAAAGGCAGATGTAGAAATTAAAGAGCTCAGCATGACCCAAAACAATGTTGAAATCTGAATTTGGCTCTTGCCTTGGAAGGCTGACTATCTCAAGTTCTCCTTGGATGTTATGGAAACAAAATGCTCTGATCCCCTCCTCATCCCTTCCCTCCCCAAGGATGTGGACAGTGTCAGAGCTCAACTGAGCTGGCTGATAAACAAACATCTCTTATCAGGACTATGGCTCTTGACTCTGGACTGATCTGTGCTATGACTTCCTCTCAAACTCATGCCTTTGCAGACCTTCTTTATTGTATCCCCTGGTGCAGCAACCTAGGAAATGCAACGGCACCAAAGGGCTGCATTGCTCATCTGGTGACCTTGCTGGGACCCCTACCCCCTACCCACTCCACATACATATGTATTATGTCTATTTATGTACTTTTATGTTGCTCTAAGGTCATTTTTTTAGCAACTCTGATACTGTGTTCTGTAGACAGTGCAAGATTTGATGGTTTATTTTTCACACCTCCCCTCCCCCTCGTGTTTCTTGTTCCTCATCTGAAAATAAGGCTTTGCCTCCCGAGGCAGCAGCCTCAGTCACCTTCGTATCCCCATGTCAGTTGTTTATGTTGTTCTTGGACGGGCTGTACTGGAAATGCAATTTTGTTGTGCTTCGGTGCAATGACAATAAAGCTGATTTTGATTCTGAGCAGAATCAGTAGCTAGTACTTTGGGTGCAGTAGGGGACATTTCTTGAAGTTATATCATTACATTTCCGTCATAATACTCATGTTATATGAAATTGACAGTGGTGAAAAGGTTTGCATATTTGCTTTTGCATGAACTACTGCAAACTTTAGAAAATAGGATTTGGCAAAATCTGCTTTGAGAGTCAATCTGCTCAAACCGTATTGATGAGCTAATAATGGTTTATCCAAGTGGAACCATTTCCAAATAAGATTTTACTTTCTTAAAAGAACTCTAAACTTTAGTTTTGCACAGTTTATGAAAACATCTACACTGCCATCAATTTCACATTACATGGTCATTTCAAAGAAAATGTTGTGATTTTCCTGCCAGAAATGCTACAGCTTGTTCTTATACTGCTAGTTGTTCTTGCAAATATTCATAAAATTCCATATAATAATCATGTAATATAAAATGACAAAAGTATAACAATCTAAAAAGCATTTGCACAGAACATTACACATATTTGGAGCTGTTTAAGAATGCATCAGCCCACTTATGATTCAGACATTTTCAAATTAGGTATTGAATGGACTGTACTTATAAAGCACCTTTCTCTCTTACCGAGATACTCAAAGTGCTTTACAACACAATCTGTGCCCTCATTTACCCATTCATACAACACTCTACTAGATCTATACAAAGAATAATCAGTGCTTTATTACATTAATACACCAATGGGAAACACATCGGAGGCAATGAGAGGTTCAATGTTTTGCCCAGGGACACTTCGGCATGTGACTGTTGGTGGAATCGAACCCACAACTCTTGCATTGGAGGACGACTGCTCTAACCACTCAGCCACAGCCGCCCCAAATTAGTATTAGTACCACTGTCTTGTCAGACCTTTTTTTTTTTTTTTTTTAAATAACTAACACCAACAGGTAAGATATTTTTTGTTTACCTTTTCACAGAACCCCACGTCCCGTTCAACCCATCCCTTTAAAGTCCAACCACAACAATTCAACTTTAGCTATTTTTCTCCTGCCTGTCTGTGTAAACAGACTATAAGGTATATTTAAATCGCCTTCGGTCTGTTTGGTATATATCTGTGAATTTACATTTTCCTTTTACTCTCTGATAATAACAATCTCATGTTTTTTTTTTTCCTAATGTAAAGTTTCAAACATGCCCCTTCACTTTGGTAATCAAAATACTCCAAGCACTTCCTGTTCTTTCGTTCCTCTCTCTTTTGTATTCATCCCTTGCTTGTATATTGCATTTGCAAGGCACATATTTGTGCTCTGAAGAGATACAGCATGGCGTCACTGAGAGACTGTCGGTGAGCAATTGCTGATCCTGGGGAGTGATAAAGAGAGCCGGGCTGTCTGAAACCTGGAAGAAAAAAAAAAGGCTGGAGAGAGTCATGGAGCATATAGACCAGGAAGGTCACCAGCTGCCAAAGAAGGACCAGACGGTCTCCAGAATGTCCTCAGCTTTTCCTCAATTCACTGACACTAATGAATTTGGGAGCCTGTGGCGTTGTAGTATAACAAAAGTAATACAAATGTTAGTTTGAGGCAAACCAACTGCATTTTGATTAAATAAATGCTAAATCAGGTGCCCCATGCTGCAAAACGAGGATAAATAAATGACTGATTTGAAATTGCGACAGAATGATCTTGGCCCTTATATCTGAATGCAGATTGGAAGTGGACTGATTAAAAGATATGCAAATGTGAAAATCGGCTGGACACCCTCTCTATCACTACCTTTGCATATGGTCATTTTAAGGACGCGCTTATCTCTGTCAGTGTGCTAATAGATTTATTTCCTTACAGCCGTTGCGAGGTACACCCAAAAGTCACATTTACTGCGCCTTGAATTTTATGTCTCTCTGCTCTCATAGGAAGTTTGCACCGCAGCATTTTTATTTTTTTTCATAATCAGTGTTTTCAAAAGTGTTTTGCATTTGTCAGTTCTAATCTTTCATCTTGTTATTTTCTTGGGACTTGACAGACAATTGGATCTGATTTTGCATCTTCCCTTCCAGATTTTCCTAGCAGTGTTGTCACTTTATTTATCTGCAGACTTCCCCAATCACATTTCCGGGCAGGTGCATTGCTGCCCATCCACAAATTACATCTAGGATAATTTCATATTGATTAATGCAGATGCGTTCCTCTTGGCTCTTGTACTCTACCTGCAGTCTATTTGGTATAAATTACTGAAGCTATTTTGCCGCACAAAGCCAGCCTTCTCCAATAAGGTGTTGGCTCATATGTCGACTGGGGCCTCCAAACTACCCCTCTGACTGTAGGAACCACTAAAGCTTTTAATTGCCTTCTGTGCAAATGGTCCTTATGCACTTGATAAAGTATGTGGAAAGTCTGGCATGAGCTGGTAGAGACTTGGGGGAGTCAGAGCACTTCCAGTGTGTGTGTCTGTTTGACTGAAACAAAAAATAGATAGGGAGGGAGGGAAAAAAAGAGAGTGAAACAGGTTTATAGATAGACTTAGTGAGGGCTGCTTGGTAATTTTTATCCCTGATATTACAGCTTTTATGAGTGTGGTGTAAAAGTTACCCTTTATGAGTCCAGTCACCACTCAGCAAAATGTTCAAATAGAGGTCTGCTTGCAGCCCACAGGATTATTTTTTTCTGTGTACATTCACTACAGTAGAGTGGCTGATAACCCTGGGTAAAGCGATAAACAATCAAAGCGCAGCTTCAGTGGAAATGATTGCATTCTGTACACTGCCCCAGAGATGGGGCCCATTATTAACACGGGTCCTGTCCTGACAACGCTATTTTCTGGAAGGTAATTGCAGATTCAGATCTCTGAGAGGGCCCGACTGAGAGTAAATGCCACCTCTTTAATTACGGTCTCCTCCACGTCTCCTCTATTGAGCTGCGGAGATGTCTATCGCTCCATGGGATCCTGGGGAAAATGACTCTAATGGGAAATGACCAGTGTCTGGGAAGCAGGCTCAGATTAGAAGAGACGTTTCTAATTGATGGCTAAAGAAATCCCCAGGCCAGATGACTGGGAAAAGTCACTTTGGAGCCCCTGTAATTGGAGTGATTGCGGTTCTAACAAGAATCAGTGGATAATCACTCCTGATTTAAGATGGTGAGAGCACAGACAACTAGAGCAATTGTAAAAATTCACAAAACCCAGAGATTGACACTTGTATGTTTTGTGCAGTGTAACTCAAAGGGACAGGCAGATTTTCAGAATAAAAATATTGTACACATGATAGTTAGAAGACTCTTTATATGACTGCTTTAAGTAAGATGCACTATTTCTGCTAATGTGTTCAGAACCACTCCTCATTTATCACCTCTGGTAAATTATCTTCTTGGTAACACTACCAATCAAGCTATTATTCTTTTATTCAGGTTTTTTTTTTTTTTTTTTAATCAGATAATAGACCCTAATCAAAGGCAGGTCCATCTACTGCTCGAAATCAGAGTGACGCCTTTATCTCTCTCCATTTAGCATTGATGTAAGACAGTCACACAAGAATAAAGAGGCAAACACAACAATCTTTAATCTTCTTTAATTAGATATCTTGGCTCAGGAGGTAACTTTATGTACTTGTACTCCAGGTTTAGTTTCAGACATAGCCCTTAAACTCAAAACATTTATTTCCTGTCTCTAGGCAATATTGTGTTTTTATCCATGTCTGTGTGTGTGTTTGTCTAAAGCACAAGCAAAGTGTCTCATAGAACAATCGTCTGATTTTAATTAAACGTTTCATAAAGTAATCACTGATTGTATGTCTACAACTGATTACTGTTTGGAGTCAACCCAATTCAAGATGGCCACCACAGCTAAGTGACTTTAACAAACACAGAAATGTCAATAACTCACTTAGTTTTTACAGACATTGAACTAAAATGCTGTGGTTTTAGGTTAAAGTCATTCAAAACACATACACAATGTGCATTATCTTTACTTACGTTTTTCACATTAACTATTAAAGTCAACATTGTTTGTTAGCAAAATAAGTCTTGCACCACTGGGCAGATTTAACGAATCTCCACGAAATTAATTGTTGTCTATACATAAAAACTTAAATACTTTTGGATGCAACTCAATATAGAGAGGGGCACCAGAAACAAATCAAACACAAACATGGCAGTAGCTTTGCTGCTACTATAAACTTAAGGTCAGTATCAGTAAATTTGACTGAGAATTGTGCTGAAAAACTACTTTGGATGATAACACATTAGGATAATCTCATATCACATGGAATAGTGTAAAAAGTTGTTTACACAGTTTAACTGAAACAGCCATGACTGTTTCTTTTCAGCATAAAATGAGTTTAGATAAAAATTTTGGCATGTAAGGTGGTGCGCAATATGCATTTCTTTAAAGAATGATGGGTCTTTGATTAAATTTTACCTTACTAATTTTCATTGTAGCTCAATTTCCTTTTAAAATGATGTATGTGAGGTCACAGACATGCGTTTATACATATTGTCACAAAACAAGCAAATATAAAATCCATTCATCCAATATCATAATCTGTCTTTTTGGGTCCCAGTCTGGGAGCCTTTCTGGGTGGAGTTTGCATGTTCTCTCAGTGCATGCATGGGTTTTCTCTGGCTATTCCGGTTTTCTCCCACAGACCAAAAAAATGCATGTTAGGCTGATTGGTGACTCTATATGGTCCCTAGGTGTGAGTGAGAGAGTGAATGGTTGTTTGTCTCTATGTGGCCCTGTGATGGACTTGCGACCTGTCCAGGGTTTACCCCGCCCCTCGCACAATGATTCCCGGACATGGGCACCGGTGACCCCTATGACCCAAAATGGAAGAAGCGGGTAAAAGGTAATGGATGAATTTATGTATGTATATATATATATATATATATGTGTGTGTGTGTGTGTGTTTCAGTTTTTAAAGCAAGTTCTATTTTACATGTGGACTACAACACCACAAAACTGTACATGTTTTATTAATTGCTTGTTCATTTGCAGTTTTTTTGTTGCTTCAGCTTTCAGACAGACGGTCTGTAGCCTGTTGTGCTGTTGATGTTCACTCCTGAATCCATCACTGCTTTCTGTCAGCGGTAACAAATCTGCTGCTCTTTTTCGACTCTCCATTCGTTAGCTGACATTACGGTGCGGCAGGATCTCTGAGGTTCCCCAACTGTTGCAAGGAGTCGAAATGACAAAATAATAACAACATCTGTCTTGTGTCCAACGGTATTGACATGACATTACAGGTAGCAAATTGTTTGTGTTGTGAAGTGTGTCTGGATGATACTTCAAGCTTATGACAACAACTCCAGAGTGTGTCAGGGTTTGCAGGAGTTAATGGCTAATGTTTGGTAGGGCAGACAAATATGTGATGCTGTGACTATTTTTGACAATATGGATTTAATAAGAAATCCTTCCACTACCTGACTGCCTCAACAGTAACCTTTGTGAGATTTTTTTGTTAAAAAAAAAAAAAATCACCGGAGAGAAGAGGCTCTTCGCTATCCGAGTGCTGTTTTTTTTTTTTCCTCACTGTGTAACACTGAATCCTGAGTGCTATCAGAGCATCGTTAGCAGCTCTGTCAAGTTCTTTATTGGATTTGTGGAAGTTTACACTCCACTAACCACAGCTGAACCTGTTGTGTTGGACAGCATTACAATCGTCAAACACACAGCTAAAGGCCTTTCAGAGTGTGGAATGGTTGCTATTTGAAAAGAGGAATAAAAATGAATTTTATTCATTTTACCTCTGCTAATGCTAAGCAAAATCTTTCTTGGTCTATGACTTATACTTCACAATAGAAATTTTATATACATATACATTATTTTACCCCTAACTAGTATTGTCAGAAAAGTGTTAAATCTAATGACACTCCAATAAAAGATGGTGTCATTTTCAGAGTCCTCATATTCAGTGGGTCATGGATGAGCCTTTGGGAATATCACTAAAAGACATGAAACGTCAAGGCAAGCATGAAATCAACTCCGACCATACAGATTAGGTGACATCTACCTTTGCTTATGCCATCATGTCTGTGACAGCAGTACTGCACTAGTCCTAATCCATGGACTAACAAGCTCTTCACTACAATACAAGCAGCTACAAACAGCCAAAATCATTTACCAATAGCAATCAGGTCAACTACAGATACATTTTTTAAAAAGTAAACAGTAATAAGTTTAGAATAAAAATCACAGTGAGCAATCAAAAATTTTCAACACAATACCCATAACGGGAGCAGAAAATGTAAAGATATGAATATTTTTTTTCTATCACATCTTGAACACTGCTCTCCTCAGCAGTGTCAACTTTAATTTAATCATCAAAATCCCAAGTTACAGGTTTGCTAAAATTATGTAGCTGTTCAATGCTTTTCCTGCATGATTTATGCATTAAAGTTATGCTA